AAATAATGCAAAGAACCCATTCACAGATATAAAATTTCAGGGCATTCTGGGGAACTACAAGTAGTAGTAAAGTAAGTTTAGGAACAGGGATATGAAACGAGGAGAAAGTAACACAGGATTGAAGGTTTAGCATGAAGAGAACTATACATCAACAAAATTAGAATTTATCCTATTGGCAGAACTTGCTTGAAGGATTTCAAGCACAAGAATAATCCTTTAATTATCCACAGATCATGATGGCACCATGGACATTAAATTAAATACCCCTAGCAAGAGGCTACTGCAATAGTATAGGCAAAATGTCAGAGAGGAAGAGGATGTAGAAGGTTCTGTACAATCCAAAAATCCACAGAACTGAGTCTAGCAGCACTGGATGGGAAGTGAAAGGGATAGGAAAGAGTCTGGCTTGACTCCCAGGCTTGTCATCCGAGCCACTGACTAAATGGGTAAGTGGTGTGATTAATAGGGATGGGAAATACTCTTAGAAAATCCTTTCTAACTCCTCTGCTTATTAGTGCTTTTTAATATTTACTTTATCCCTCTACCAACTTTTTCCACCTTTTTAACAATCTCTTCAATAAAATAAAAACAAGTCTGTCTCACTGTCATAATATCTTTATGGTATTTGAATCATCTGTAATTCTGAGTTATATTTACAAGTCAATTAAGCTTTGGGTTTTTTTTAATAGATAGCTATCAAAAATAATATTTTTAAAAAAGATTTTATTTATTTATTTGACAGAGAGAGACAGCAAGAGAGGGAACACAAGCAGGGAGAGTGGGAGAGGGAGAAGCAGGCTCTCCACCAAGCAGGGAGCCTAACGAGGGGCTCCATCCTAGGACCCTGGGATCATGACCTGAGCCAAAGGCAGACGCTTAACAACTGAGTCACCCAAGAACCCCAGCCATCAAAATAATCTTGCTGTTCCCTTAATGAAATCACTATCAACTGCCCTAACGGTTTTCGGCTATCCCTCTTCTCCTCTTCCTCCTTTTACCTCCTCCAATTCTTTGACGCTCCTAATTTTACCCACCTGTCTACTCCTCAGTCAATTATACTTTGTTTTTCTCCATCCTTACTTCTGAATGTTTTTCCAAACCCTGTGTAGCTAAAACAACTTCTTTTTCTGCTAAACAAGTTACCTCCACTTCACATCAGGTATAATACACTATTTTTTTCTTTTTCTAAAAATTTTATTCATTTATTTGACAGAGAGAGACACACCGAGAGAGAAAACACAAGCAGGGGGAGGGATGGGAGAGGGAGAAGCAGGCTTCCCACCAAGCAGGGAGCCCTGGGCTGATCCCAGGATTCTGGGATCATGGCCTGAGCAGAGAAGGCAGATGCCTAAGGACTGAGCCACCCAGGTGCCCCTAGGTATAATATACTTTAAAACTCATTTTCTTCTTTTTAGCTTTTCCTCACTAAGACACTACCAAATCCTTAAATACAATGGTGGCCTTTCCCAAGCCTAGCTGTCCTGAGGCAATTATTAATTGCATTTTTTCATTTTTATCTCTCACCAACTTTATTATATTTGAAAAACTGTAATCCTATTAAGAAAGTAAAAGAACAGGGGTGCCTGGCTGGCTCAGTCAGTGGAACACGAGACTCTCGATCTCAGGGTTGCGAGTTCAACACCCAGGTTGGGTGTAGAGATTACTTAAAAATAAAATATTTAAATAATAAAAAGAAAAAGAAAAGCAAAAAATTAAAAAACCCATATAAACCCTTGGTAAATCCATTCTCATAATTCAAAAAAAGGCAAGAGGGGACAAAAGCTGTGGAAATAAATGAGGCACAGGTACCAGAGACTGAAACAGGGTTCAGGGTAATCTAGTGAAAACAGCAACCAACTCTTGATTTCAGCACAAGTCATGATCTCAGGGCTGTGAGATGGAGCCCTGCGCTGGACTCTGTGCTCTGCCTGGAGTCTCCTTGGATTCTCTCTCCTCTCCCTCTGCCCATCCCCACACTCATGCGCCCTCTAAAATCTTTTTTAAAATGTTAATGTTTGGGACGCCTGGGTGGCTCAGTTGGTTGGACGACTGCCTTCGGCTCAGGTCATGATCCCGGAGTCACAGGATCGAGTCCCACATCGGGCTTCCAGCTCCATGGGGAGTCCGCTTCTCCTCTGACCTTCTCCTTGCTCATGCTCTCTCTCACTGTCTCTCTCTCAAGTAAATAAATAAAATCTTAAAAAATAAAATAAAAATGTTAATGTTTTCTCTACTAACCACTTATGTAGAAACTGACCTATTACCAAACTACTATCGTGTTTCATAATACAACCTGTCTTAAGCTTTTCATGTCCGTTATATCTCTGCGTGGTTCAGATGCTTGACAAAGAAGGTTTTATTAACCTTATTTTGCCCATGAGATTACTGAAGGAAAAAAAAAAGGGAGAGAGTTTAAGTGAAAAAGCAAGGTTAAAGAAAAAAAAAAGGCAAGGTCACAAGTAAGCTCCTGCTGCAGTAAAACCTAGGTTTTCTGACCAACAGTCTAGTACTTCTTCATTTTAGGAAAGTTTCTGTTTAAAGGACACTTAAAATACTAGTCACTCCCTCCCACTATTCTCCAAGATTTGTTCAAACCAAACAATTAAGGAGACTTTAAAGTTAACAGGAAATGACAGAACCAAAAATAACTGGGGTGTGGTCTCACCTCTGAAAAGATTTGCAGCTGTGAATAAATGCAGTCAACTCTGGCCAGTCAAGATAATATCAGATCAGGATTTAGTACCCAATACAATGGACCTTAGCTACACATAACAGTAACACCCTACTTTCTTAGAACAAACCTCTACTATTTCAAACTCTGGAAAACCCAGAAAAAAATCAACATAAGTCACAGAGAAGCCAAGATTGCTGTGGTCAAGTTCTTACTCTACAGTTTTTATATTTAAGATAAATCCACACATTCTAACTAAGGGTTTGAAATCATTATACTTCATTTATTTAAGAGTAATCTTATAAGTATATAACATGCCAAAAAAAATAATAAGTATACAACATGCGGTAATCTATAATTTGGCCAAAAAACATAAATTATACAGACTATAAGAGTGTTTACTTAACTGTGAGCGTGCCTAGCAATAAGACAATACCTACCTTTTAACTATGTTTCATTTCACTTTACTTCTATATTTAAGGGTCTGAAAGGGTTATTTTAAGATTTCCTTTATATCTTATGGCATCTTATGGTGGAAATTACATGCTACAATGGCGATCAGAATTTGAGATTCCTAAAGGTCTGAGGACTGCCACTAAGCTTCACTGAGATCCTGTTTCTTCTAACTTGACACACAATTCTGGTTTATCTGGTTTCCCTGCCTACTTCAGCTTAGAAATAGCAGATCAGAAGGGCATATTTTGACAGATAAAGAACAGTACTGGAAGAGATAAAAAACAGACAGAAGCATTAAACAGTATAGCAGTAAGCAGTCATTTTGGTACAGAAGGAAACTGCCAACACCCTTAAACAGCAGAATGCACCAGCCATGTTAACAGCACAGGACAGAAATTAATGTACACAACTGACCTTGATTAATCAAAAAAGGTTATGTTTAGTATATTCTTTATCTTAAGAGAAGGTTTAAACTCTTTATCTTAAGAGAAGGTTTATACTTTTATATACTATAAAAGCTGACATTAAAAAGATCAAAATTATTTAACAAAGGACTAAAAAATGTCAGTTATATGAACAATTCACTTCAATCCTCAATAATACCAGATGATCTCTGAGTAGCTATATCTCAAAAACCTCATTATATCTACTGAACATTATATAATGTAGGTAATCAGTGTTTATGATCATCACTTATGATCTTGACTTTTTAGAGGGGAAGAAACTAAGTTACACACTAAAATTAATAGTGTAGAAAATCAATTTATGATGATTCATTTTTTAGGGAGAAAAATATTTAAATTAAACACTAAAATTCTCCCTCTTCATTGAACATTCAATAGGCTTTTCCACTTAAAAAAAAAAAATTATTGTCACCAATCTTCGTTTCCTTTCTCCTTCTAATTACCAAAACGAAAACATAAAAGTATTTTAATAGTTTTGCCCACTTACACTTAACCCCTTTATCCAGAAGCCACTAACAGCTCGCTTAGGTGTATACTCCCTTCTTATAAAATAGTGCTTTCAACCCCATAGTTAAAACTCAAGAGCAAAGAATTGTACCTAAGTGTTACCGCTGAACAAAAGAAGTGCATAAATTAGTAGTTACGTTTAAACCAGTATAAGTAGTTTAAGACCAGAAACAAGGACAACGTAAATCCCTACAGTAAGGAACATTTTAGTTTTGGTTAGATATCTGAATGAGAGAACATCCTTCTTCAGGTCTCTACAGCCAAAAAATAAAATAAAGCACCAACATCATGTCAAGAGATCTGTAAGTCCCTTTCACACATCACAAAATGGATTTATTTGTGTTTATCTCACCAAACTCTTCCTTTTAATAACAGCAGGGACTTGGGGTGATCTGTAGAAAGTGGGCCAAAAGGTACATGGTAAACGTCCTTTAAAAAAGGGGGTGGGGGAGGGGCGAGATCATCCGATCCTAAAGAAGGGGAGCGGCAGGAAGATGTGACTTGGAAGAATCTACTCAAGTCCCTGCGCACATCACCCCAGATGGCTTCACCAGATGAAAGACGAGAAAAGAGGAATCGTTTCTTTTAAAAAAGATGGGGATCCCGGCCCTTTGGGGTGGCGGGAGAAGAAATCCCCACCCCACCTGCAGGTCCCACACTCCGGGAGATAAAGCGGCAATCTCCAGCTAGCTGCGGATCGAGGTGCGACAGAAAGCGCCCGGGCACGGCCCCGCAGGGCTCCCCCTCCCCTCTCTCACACCCCCTCCCGTCCTCCCCGCGGACCGACGCAGCCGGTGTCCCCCGCCGCCCTCCCGCCACTCCCCGCCCTCCGTCCCCCCGCCGTCTCCCCGCCAAAGGCCGATTCCCGCCGGGGGACGACGAGGGCCCGGCCCGGCCGGCACCTTTGATGACGCGTTCGGTGGTGGAGAGGTGGTGGTTCCTCCCGGACATGGTCCCCTCGGCCTCCTCCCGGCTCCAGGCGACCGCCAGACGTGCACCTCCGCCTTGGTGTCCAGCAGTGTCAGCTCCCCGGGGCCAGTCAGCCCGCCGCGCTCCGGCCCCGGCTCCTCCGGGCGGCCCAGGTACCAGAAGGGGGAGGCCACGGCAGCCGGGCCTCGAACCTCGCTGACACGATGCGGGCCCACTGGCCGCTCCCTCCTGAGCAGCCGAGTCGGGAGCGCGGGTGGCTCGGCGAGGCAACCCGGGCGGCCGCGGCTGCTCGCGGCCCGATCCCGCGTGCGCGCGCGCGCGCGCTCCCGCACGCCGCTCTCCCAACTTCCCGGCGGCCCGCGCGCGCTGCCGCCGCCGCCGAAGCCCAACTCGCCGCCGCTGCCCTGTTCTGCGCGGCCGCCTGACCTCCCGCCCCCTCCCGCCGGCAGTCGCCCACCCCGACTCTCCCCTTCCTCCAGAGGCCCGAGGCCCGCGCAGCCGCACTCCGTACTCGCGTGCTTCTTTTCTCCCCTCCTGCTTCCGACGGTCAGTTTTCCCTTCTGCTCAGCCTGCCCTCCTCGCAGCTGACTCCCCCTAGGCTGCCTGCCGCTGCCCCGGCCCGCAGCACCTACCACCGGCCCCTGGGTCCGGCACGGAAAGCCCCTGCGAAGCAGCGGCCATCTTGTGACCCGGCCGCGGAGTCCGAGCAGGGGCTCCCCGGGCCGCGAGCCTCTTGTCACCCTCACTCCGGGGCCACCTTGCCGAGAGCCCTTGTCTTCCCAGACACTCCTCACGGGAGTCCTCCCTCCTTTTCTTCTGGGCTTCCACCCCCTCGGTCTCTAGGGAGTCCCTATCAAGCTGACCACGCTCCTTCCCGCAGTTTCTCCTCCCCCCATCCCATTCACCAAACTCATTTAAGCCCTCATTTCAGTTTTCACATTTGTTGAGTGCAGTTAGTATAGGAAGAAGTCCGTTCGTGTCCTGCCAGCTCCAGTCCAGTAGTTGGCGGGCCTCAGATTCCATGGCGTGAGACCTGGCTTGGCCCCCGGGCCTCCTCACTTCCTTTCCACCTCTAAGAGAAGGAAGAGCAGCAACTCTAGGGACCTCCAATGTGCAGGGAACTGACCTTCCAATAAGCCCTGTGGGTCACCTACTCTGCTAGAAGCACCCCCCTGTTCCAGTTCGATGCAGTGACATCTGCCCCACTCAGGCTTACTGTGGGACACGATGGGCAAGTCTCTAGAGAGTCCTAACAGTCTAGCTCATCTCTGGGTTAAAAACTGATCTTTTCTTTCCTTAAATTGTAAACTTAGAAACTGTCTTACTGTGCCTGTCTTCCCTCACCGAGTATAGTGCCTGGCAAAGTAAAAAAGTATTTTGAGTTTAGCCATGATAATGTAATATCGAAACTGAGATCCAAGGAAAAACAGACAATCCAGACTTAACAGTTACTGTTGTGGCCAATAAGTCTTATGTGGTTACACATATTTAAATTAAATAGAATTAAAAAAATTTGAATATTCAGTTCCTCGAGTGCACTAGCCACATTTCAAGTGCTCATCAACTACCTGTGGCTAGTGGCTACCTTACTGGACATGGTAGCATAGGACATTTCTATCATAGCAGAAAGTTCTTTTGGACAGCTCCCACTTAAAAGATTAGAAGGGTTGAAGCCTAAATCTCCATTAATATAGATTTATGTATTGGGAGGAGATCTGGGGATATACTCTGGAGTCATCCCCTGAATTAAGTCTTGGAATTTTGACCTAAGGCTATTCGTAGTAACCCCAAAGAGGCAGGAGCACCTTGAAAGCTGGATTTAATTTGGTTCTGTTTCCTTGGGTTTTGACATCAGGTTTCCACCCAAGAGAATTGTTCAGATATCCTGAGGAAGTTCTTCATTTAAGAAGTAATGAGAACTCCACACTTCTATCAAACAGAGCAAATTTCTAAAGGGCAAAATAAATTGGTCCCTGCAGAATAGATGTTAAAATTCATCTGGAAGAACAGGATAGCTAAAAACAAAAATAAAAGCAAAAATTCCAAAGCAAACTTTGGAAACCACTGTGAAGAGATGGATTTTTCAATAATAGTAGTAGTAGGAAATTATCACGTGGATCTCAAGTTGGAGCCACTCTATAACATCAAACGATTTTATTTTTTACTTTTTTAAGATTTTATTTGAGTCCCAACATGGGGCTCAAATTTACAACCCTGAGATTAAGAGGTTCATGTTCTACTGATAGCCACCCAGGAGCCCCAGAGATTTTTGTTTTACTTTTTTTTTTTTTTTTTTTTTTTTGAGATTTTACTTTTGGGGCGCCTGGGTTGCTCACTCAGTTAATGTCTGCCTTCAGCTTAGGTCATGATCCTGGGGTCCTGGGATGGAGCATCACATTGGGCTCCCTGCTCAGCGGGAAGTCTACTTCTCCCTTTCCCGTGCCCCTCCCCCTGCTTGTGCATGCGCACGCTCTCTCTCTCTCTCTAATAAAATCTAAAAAAGATTTTATTTTTAAGTAATCTCTATAGCATCAAAATAAAGTGAACCTTGTTTAAAGAGTTACATGTGGGGCTCCTGGGTGGCTCAGTGGGTTAAAGCCTCTGCCTTGGGCTCAGGTCATGATCTCAAGTTCCTGAGATCAAGGCCCCCTCCCCGCCCCCTTCCCCCCCCATCGGGTTCTCTGCTCAGTGGGGAGCCTGCTTTCTCTCTCTGCCTGCCTCTCTGCCTACTTGTGATCTCTGTCTGTCAAATAAATAAATCTTAAAAAAAAAAAAGTTACATGTAAAACATAAAAGAAGAAATCTAGAAGAAAATGAAGAAGTTATCTTACTTGGTTAATTGTGGTAACTCCAGAGCTAATATATCCCAACAGATGCTGATGCTCCCTCCCCCTCACTTACCAGATCAAACACAACTTAGTTAATTTGGGTAAGTACTGCCACCGCTCAAAAGTAATGAAAGGGTGGTGCCGGGGTGGTTCCGTCAGTTAAGCTTTGGACTGATTCTGGCTCAGGTCATGATCTCAGGGTCATGGAATTGAGCCTCACATTGGGCTCTGTGCTTAGTGGAGTCTGCTTCTCTCCCTCTCCCTTTGCCCCACCCCCATGTGCTGCCTCTATCTCACAAATAAATAAATCTTAAAAAAAAAAAAGTAATGAAAGGAATCAGAAAAGAATATTGTTTGACTACTTCAAGAAGATAAACACAAAAGTCACAAAACAGGAAGATATTTGCATCTCCTAAGTCAGGATAAAGAATTTTCACTATTCAAAAGAAGAGGTCTACAATACACGTATGGGCAAAGGCCACAAACAGTGACTTTATAAAAGAATAAATAAGGCACTAAACATTAAAAAATGTTCAACTTCGGGGTGCCTGGGTGGCTCAGGGGGTTAAGCCTTTGCCTTCGGCTCAAGTCATGGTCTCAGGGTCCTGGGATCAAGCCCCGCATCGGGATTTCTGCTCAGCAAGGAGTCTGCTTCCTCTCTCTGCCTGCCTCTCTGCCTACTTGTGATCTCACTCTGTGTCAAATAAGTAAATAAAATCTTTAAAAAAAAATGTTCAACTTCCTAAGTAATAAAAAATTCAAATTAAATCAAGATGCCATTTTTCACATAGCAAATTGGAAAACATTTTTATTTTTATTTTAAGATTTTATTTATTTATTTGACAGAGAAAAATCACAAGTAGGCAGAGAGGCAGGCAGAGAGAAAGGGGGAAGCAGGCTCCCTGCCGAGCAGAGATCCTGGTGCGGGGCTGGATCTCAGGACCCTGAGACCATGACCGGAGCGGAAGGCAGAGGCTTTAACCCACTGAGCCACCCAGGCGCCCCTGGAAAACATTTTTAAAAGGTGATACTGGGGGCACCTGGGAGCTCAGTGGGTTAAAGCCTCTGCCTTCGGCTCAGGTCCCGATCACAGGACGCTGGGATCATGACCCGGGCTGAAGGCAGAGGCCTTAACCCACTGAGCCACCCAGGCACCCCAAAGAAATAAAAATCTTTTTTTTTTTTTAAGATTTTATTTATTTATGAGAGAGAGAGAGCGAGCACAGGCAGACAGAATGGCAGGCAGAGGCAGAGGGAGAAGCAGGCTCCCTGCAGAGCAAGGAGCCCGATGTGGGACTCGATCCCAGGACGCTGGGATCATAACCTGAGCCGAAGGCAGCTGCTTAACCAACTGAGCCACCCAGGCGTCCCAAGAAATAAAAATCTTAAAGAAAAGAAAAGAAAAGAAATTTCCAAACTGTTTTCCAAAGTAGTTTTAGCATTTTACCTTCCCACCAGTAACAAAGGAGAGTTGTAGTTGTTCTCACTCTTGTCAACACTTGGTATAATCTTTATTTTAAACTGCTGTATTTTATTTGCTTCTTTGTTTTTAAGGGGCTCAAACTCATTACGCGGATATCAAAGGTCACATGCTCTACTGGCTGAGCCAGCCAGGCACCCGGGTATTGAGAATCTTTAGTTTCAGCTGGTGAAGTGGTGTCTCAGTATGGTTTATTTTACATTTCCCTGATGACTAATGATGTTGAGAGAATCTTTTCATCAGCTATAGCTAATCTCTTCTTTAACTGATACTGACAAATCCCTTTCCAGAGAAGTTGTGCTAATTAGTAATTCCACCAACAGTGTCACTTTTTTTTTAAGTAATCTCTACACCCAACATGGGGCTTGAACTCATGACCTCATGATCAAGAGCAGAATGCTCTGAAGACTGAGACACCCAGGTGCCCACTAACAGTATCACCTTTTATTTTATTTTTTAAAGATTTTATTTATTCATTTGACAGACAGAGATCACAAGTAGGCAGAGAGGCAGGCACAGAGAGAGGGAGGAAGCAGGCTCCCCGCCAAGCAGAAAGCTTGAGTCAGGGCTCTATCCCAGGACCCTGAGATCATGACCTGAGCGGAATGCAGAGGCTTTAACCCACTGAGCCACCCAGGCACCCCTGCCCCTGGAAATTTCTTATAAAATTAAATATACACCTACTGTATGACCCAGTAATTCTACTTTTAGGTTTTTTACCTGACAGTAGTGATCATCCAAATAATGAAATGCTACTTAGCTAATAAAAGAGAAATAATTACTGATACATGCAATAATGTGGATGAAGCTTACAAACATTATGGTGAAACAAAAGCAGCAAGATACAAAATAGTATATACTACATGATTTCATTTGCAAAGGAAAATGGTTACATGAAATATGATATTGAATGGAACATTATGCATTATGGAAAACCAACATACTTTTATTTCTTTATTTTTTAGTAATCTTTACACCCAATGTGGGACTGGAACTCATGACCCCAAGATCAAGAGCTGCGTAAACAACTTCTGACTGAGTCAGTCAGGTGCCC